TGCTGAGGGGATGGGGGGGAATGGCTGCTGCGGGGACGGGGAGAATGGCTGCTGAGGGGACGGGTGGGAATGGCTGCTGAGGGGACCGGGTTAATGAATGTGTGCGCGGGGCTGCCATCGCTCCGTGTGTGCCTCCCTGGGGGTCGGGCTGGGCCCAGCCTCCTCCCGGTGCTGCCCAGCCACGGCACAGCTGGTAATGGCCATAAGCTAAAATACAGCGAGTTCCACCTCTGGATGAATGGTGGAATGGTTTGGGTGGGAAGGAACCTCAAAGGCCACCCAGTGCCACCCCTGCCATGGCAGGGACACCTTCCCCTGTCCCAGGTGCTCCCAGCCCCAGTGTCCAGCCTGGCCTTGGGCACTGCCAGGGATCCAGGGGCAGCCACAGCTGCTCTGGGCACCCTGTGCCAGGGCCTGCCCACCTTCCCAGGGAACAATTTCCTGTTAATATCCGGTATAAACCTATTCCCCTTAAGTTGGAAGGCATTTCCTATTGTCCTGTCACTCCAGTCCCTCTCTGTATTTCTTGTAGTCTCCCTTCAGGTACTGGAATGAACTTTATAGTGGGGCAGGGCTGTGGAACAGCTGCCCAAGGAGTCATGGAGCCTCCCCTTTTGGAGACATTCCAAACCTACCTGGATAGTTCCTGTGTCACCTGCTCCAGGTGACCCTGCCTGCACAGGGGGTTGGACTGGATGATCTGCACAGATCTCTTCCAGCCTTAACAATGGTGTGATTCTGCTCTTCCAGCTCCAACCTGAACATCAATGATGTGCTGGGGAACTACTCCCTGACGCTGATCGACGCGCTGGACACGCTGGCGGTGAGTCCTTGGCATGGGGACACTGCCCTGGCCACCCCAGGGAGTGCCCTGGCTGGGGGAGCTCCCCAAGGCTTGCCCAAGTGGTGCAAACAGCTGGATCATGAGCTAACAGCTGGATCATGAGCTAACAGCTGGATCACGAGCTGACAGCTGGATCATAAACCAGCAGTGTCACGTGGGGTAACAGAATGAGAGTAGTTGGAGGTGTCAGCAGAGATTTCCAGAAGAGACAGAGGAAATTTTGGAGCTCCTCCTCAGGTTTCGGACGAGATCTCTGTGGGTTATGCCAGGGTGGGTGGATTTGAGCTGGAGCTGCTGTGAGTTGCTGAGAGGTCCAGCAGGAGGAGGGTTCATTGTGTGCACAGGAAGAGCTCTGGTTGTTTCACTTGGCAGAGGGGCCTGACTGGCACACAGATCTGTGTGAGGAGTGGTGAAAGGAGGAGGGGAAAACCTGTAAAGCTGCTTCTCAGCTGCATTTCTGATAACACTGGAAGATATTGTGAGATGCAGCTCATTTCTCTGTTTGTGCCAGGGTATGGGGTCATGAGGAAGAGCATTTTCAGAGACCCCAGCAGGTTTCACTGTTCTCATCTGCAGCCAGGGCAGGGTTTGTGCCTTCTGGAGTGTCAGGGCTCGCTGATGTGCTGGAGCCAGGGGGATGTGTATCTCCTCTGGAGCAGAAGGTGGTCTGGGCTCTTTGGGATAGAAAACCCTTCCCTTCTACCCTGGGCTGCAGCAGTGGTGAGGAGCTGCTTGAGCAGGGCAGCTCTGAGCAGAACTGAAAGCAGACATGAGGGAAGTGTTGGGTTTTACTGAGAGAGAAGTTTGGGATCTGTGCTACGTGCCTGGTAATGGTGCTTTCCTGTCCTCCATCACCAGCAGGGCAGTGCTTAACTTCTTTTCTCAAATGTAAAGGTTCTGGTTGCTAAATCTCCTGTGCTTGAGAAGCTGCTGCTCGTAAGCAAGCCTGTTCTGCTCCTCATTGCTCAGATGTTTCCTCACTGGGTCTGGGTAATGGGTGCTTTGGGTAAAAATTTAGGTATCTCCCAGCCTTTTCATGAGCTCAGGAAAGCAGGAACTTGTGTTTTCCTTCCACATTCCTGCTCCCCAGAGCTCAGGCTGAACTTACATCTGTCTCTGGATGCAGTGGAAATCACTTCCTAGGTTAGACCTGTGGGAACAGGCACAAGGGAACTCCTGGATGTGCAGTGCTGAGTCAGGAACCTGAAAGGTTGGACTGGCCTTTGGTCAAATAAACATTGAATCAAACTTCATTGTTCTGCAAGCTGTGTTATGTTTTAAACTGAACTTAACTCCTAAACTGATAGTTCAAGCAGTTGGAATACTCAGTGTGCTAAATCTGACTGCTGGGCTGAGATGTGAACTTGCCATTCTCTTCCCCAACCCTCTTCTGAAGCAACAATTGTACAAACTAGCTTTTTTTTTCTGTAAAAGGTAATGGGAAACTCCTCAGAATTCCAGAAGGCAGTGAAGTTGGTGATTGACACAGTTTCATTTGACAAAGACTCAACAGTCCAAGTTTTTGAGGCAACAATCAGGTATGTGGTGCTGAGTTTGTGTCTTTAAAAGTTAAAGACTTGGAGTGTGTAATTCAAAGTGAAATCATTGATTAGGAGGTCTTTGGCAGGCTTCATTCCCTACATTGTTCCTCAAGTAAGCTGTTTCTTAATCTTCTGTGAAAATATTCCATCCTTTCATATTGGAAACCATTTTAATTGGTCCTGTGTGACCTGGAGCAGTGGGACAGTGGTTGGCTCTGTGCTTGCAGACTCTGCCTGCAGCAGAGACTCAGATCTGTGCCCTGATCAGCAAACCCTGGGACAGCTTTTCCCTGCTCAGTTTTTGTTTCATGGACTTCTGCTCACTTTCACTTTCATTTTAGATGAAAAAGACTCTTCTGTGTTGGAAATGGGTTTAGATACTGTCTGATTTTAAAGGGTGTCTCAAGCAGTGTTTATTCCTGCTTCACTTGGCTAGGCTTTCTTTTTTCTGAGTACTAAGTTAATGTAACACCCTTCCTGCCATTTGCAAGGACAAGGAAGTCTTCACTCCTAAACAGACTTGTTACAAGAACTCTGCATTAGGTAAATTTTGTAGAACCAGGTTTTGGAACTGTGGCTGACAGCAGCATGACTTCCACACGTGTTCACTACTGCTGAGGAAAACCAGGTCGTTTTGTGTAGTGCCTGTAAGGAGCACAAAGTAATAATTCCATCAGACATGACAGCAGTAAGGTGTTTAGGTGAAGAATGAGCTTCAGAACAGACAAAAACCTGAATTTTCCTTTTCCCACAGGGTTTTGGGAAGCCTGCTGTCTGCCCACATCATAATTACAGACACCAAGCAGCCTTTTGGTGACATGACCATTAAGGATTATGACAATGAGCTGCTGCACTTGGCTCATGACCTGGCAGTGAGGCTGCTCCCAGCCTTTGAGAACACCAAAACTGGCATTCCCTATCCTCGGGTGAGTGACACAGCAGCCCTGGGGGAACAGGCTCAAAGCAGAGCTCCACCTGTCCTGCAACTTAAATTTTGTGCCCTTTTATTGAGCCTACCCTGAGTTATTCTGAAATGACACAGGGGAAACTGCCCTGAGTTTTGGTGACGTGGATAATAGAAGTTTCTCCTTCTGCTTAGTAGATGTTTTCCCTGGGCTGATTTTCACTGTGTTTATTGTTCCCTGTGGGTCAGGAGTCATTTGTTCCTGTGCTGGTTGGCTGGAGCATTCCCTGCCCTGTGTCACACAGCAGCAAACAATACTGCCAGTAACAAGGAATACTGTAAAGGCAAGGAGCTGAAAGTGACTCTGTTGGTGACTTGCTGCTAAAACAATTATATTAGAGTAAAACTCTTCTGAAATATTTATCATACTGGGCTTGCAATTTGTAATTTTCCTGAAGACTGCTCAGTGGGTTCTCATTACTCTGGGATTCTTGGATGCTGCAGCCTCTTGTTTTAAGCAGATGCAGTTGGCAAGGAGAAGGATGTCACTACTACTGGAACAATCCTAAACTGCAAAACTATAATTGGCACTTGCCTGGCTGCTCTTAATTTCTGGAGACAGCAGCACTGCTTTTCCTCCAGACCTGCCAGGCTGTAGAAATGTGAATTTGGACTTCTGTTCAGGGCGTGGTAAAGCAGCTGAGGGTACTGGAACTTCCCTTCTGTGCCATGTTCCATGGGGAAGAGGAGGAGCATGCACTGAGGAAGCTCTTGGTTTCACCAGCACAAACTGAGGGGCAGCAAAGAAGGAAAAGCCTGAATGTTTAATGGAAGGCATGAGAAAGTGAAGTTTGCAAGGTTTAGCAAGTAGAAGAGAAAATGAGGCTTGCCCACTTTAGGTTTGATGTTGTAAAGCTGGAAGAATGTCAGGAATTCCACAGGAAAGCTTTCCAAGTGTGCTGGTTTTATGTCTGTGCACATTCCTTGCTGCACAATGTGCACAAACTACCAAAAAGGCTTGTTCCTAAAGGTGAGGGTGCAGCTGTGAGCACAGCTGGCTGAGTGCAGCCTGCCTGTCCCTGTTCACAGGTGAACCTGAAGAAGGGGGTTCCTCCAGACAGCCACAATGAGACCTGCACAGCTGGAGCTGGATCCTTGCTGGTGGAGTTTGGGATCCTCAGCAGGCTGCTTGGGGATTCCACCTTCGAGTGGGTGGCCAGGAGAGCTGTGAAGGCCCTGTGGAGCCTCAGGAGCAATAACACTGGACTGCTGGGTAATGTCTGGGTGCTGCTGTGTTAGCCTGTCTCAGGCTGTGCCATCAGGCCACAGCTCCTTCACGTGTCCTCACCTTTGTCCTTCTGCTCCCTCTGTAGCTCTTCAGTCACGTTCTCCTTGTGTACCCAGGGGTTGTGGTGAACTAATGGCACTTTGGGGCTCTCTGAGAAAAATGGAGTCTCTGAAAGACTCCTTAGGGCACAGGTTTTCAGCTCACATTTTTCACAAAACTGGGGAATGGAACTGAAGGCCCTGATTTGTGTCCCCATTAATATAATTCAGATTGGCAGATGACTAAAAGTACTTAAAATAACTGCATGTGTGTGGGTGTTCCTCAGATGTAACTGTAACACTTCATCTGATGTTAATCTTTGATCCTTCCTTCTTGAGAATTTCTGACCCTGTGATATTCCCAAGTCTTGACTGGATTCTTTCTCTCTGATATACTCAGCAACCTCAGACTAAACCTTTTATTTGTTCTGAAAGGAAATGTTGTGAATATCCAGACTGGTCACTGGGTTGGAAAGCAGAGTGGACTGGGAGCAGGGTCAGATTCGTTCTATGAGTACCTGCTGAAGTCCTACATCCTCTTTGGGGAGAAGGAAGACCTGGAGATGTTCAACGCTGCTTATCAGAACATTCAGAACCACTTGAGGAGAGGGTATGTGATTCATGTCAGCATCAGTTCCTTGAGCACTGAATCCTCCAGCAGGATCTAAAACATCTGTTTATAGTGCTTTGTGTCATGCCCTAGAAAATCTGTTCTCCTTTTTACTGTAAGAAGCAAAATCCCCTTTCCATGGTAGTCTCCTCATTCCTCAGGAACTGATGGGGTGCAGAGAAACTAACCTGTTTCCTGTCCCTTTTATAAATGTTAAGGCTGAGAAAAGTCTGGCACTGCAAAAGAAATTTATTCAATTGGCTGCTTTGTTCTTCTGAAAGCCCGATCTTGCCTAGCATGACTTTTTGGTAGAACATCTGCTGGCTTAGCTCTAAGATAGAATCCCTTTATGAATTACCTTCTCTGAGAGCATGACTATGTTTGGGTTCCTTTGCCAAGGAGCCCAGCACAGCAGGGCAGTGGCTGCTGCCTGGGTGGTGGCAGTGTGCTGTGTCCTGCCCAGCAGAGGCACTGCCCTCTTTGTTCCCTGCAGGAGGGAGGCCTGCAATGAGGGAGAAGGGGACCCTCCCCTCTACGTCAACGTCAACATGTACACGGGCCAGCTGATGAACACCTGGATCGACTCTCTGCAGGCCTTCTTCCCTGGGCTGCAGGTGAGCTTTCCTTCTGGGAAAGGCCAGCTGGAAAGGCCCATCCTAATCCTGGACTTCTGAGCTGAGCTCCCACCTGTGGGTTTGCATCTGGCTGCTCTGATAAGGGTTCAGTTCAGCTCTGCATGAACACAGCAATGTGGGGAGGTCTGGCCTGCTCTCTGCTAGATCTGAGACTTTCAACTTCCCTCTTTTGGCCTCAGCATTTGTATTCTGTGCTGTGAGGCTCTGCTAAAGCTTTTACTGCCAAGAATGAATGGGGGGGTTATTTTCTGTGTGTTTTGTGGGAGAAGAGTTGTTTCAAGTGCCACATTCTCATCTTTGCTGGCCTGCAGCACTAAGTGTGTGCATGTCTGGCTGCTCTCGTGCCCAGGTGTTGATAGGAGATGTGGAAGATGCCATTTGCCTCCATGCCTTCTATTATGCCATATGGAAACGCTATGGGGCTCTCCCAGAGAGGTACAACTGGCAGCTGCAGGCCCCAGATGTTCCCTTCTACCCGCTGAGGCCGGAGCTGGTGGAGTCCACATATCTCCTCTATCAGGTATTTGACTTCCCTGAGCTGCACGTCATGGCTGGGCCAAAAAGCTTTTGTTCAGAAAGTCACTTTATCCCCCCTGACCTCTGGCCAGCTGAATTTTGGCAGCCCTGGAGCTGCCTCTTGTCCTGTGGAGTCTCTGGGCAGGCATTGCAGTGTTGTGCAATGTTGTTGCTCTGCTGTCTGCTTCAAAAACAGCCTTTTTTATAAGGCAGGCAAAAACAACACTAAACAACCTTTTCTAAAAGCTGCTGGCAGATTTTTACAAGGCAGAGACCTGTGACTGCTCTACCGAAATTTTTTGCAGTAAATATAACAGCTTTCCTTGCAATACTGGCCAGGCACAGATACATAAACTGAAATAACTGTCTGCCTACAAGGAAGGGATCAGAGAGTTTGGATTTACTGCAGGTTTTGTAGGATTTGCACTAAAGCAAATGTGAGAAGCTTGCACTGGCTAATCCAAGTCATGCTCCTATAAAGATAAGTTTGCTGTGATACACAAGACTCTGGTGCCAATAGGCCTTTGTTGTGTTATTTTTACAGGATTTCAAAATTGCTGACTCTAACTCTTGTCTGTCTTCCTTATTTAGGCCACAAAGAACCCATTTTACCTTCATGTGGGAATGGATATTCTGCAGAGTTTGGAAAAATATACAAAAGCAAAGTCAGTCTTCAATGTTCTTTTCTTCTCTCAGTGCTATATATCTACATTTTATTATACAAATATTATATAGAATCCAGTCTGCCACATGTAGGTAAACCAGAAAACCCAGCCCTCCTTGAAAGCCACAAGTGATGATTTATTTATTGAGCACTTCTTTCTTTCCCATCTGAAAATGAAATTATAGTCCAGCAGCAACTTTATACCATTGGAATTTTATCAGTGCCTTTCAAAATGCATTGTTGATGATCAGCTGCTAAAAACTGCTGAAAATAATAGTTGGGATTTTTCCTAGGGATCCTGCAAGATTATTTCTCAGCTCATGGTGTTCAGCTGGACTGAGGGATGGCCCCTAAGGCAGATGCTGTTGGGTGTCAGCTTCCAGTTCAAGACAGCAGCAGTGAATCCTGACTTTAATACTGAGTAGCTGAACTTCTTGCAAGGCTCAGGGGGAAGACAGTGAATTTTTATTGCTTATTGTTAATTGACTCATTTTCTAGACAAATGTGTAATGACTGGCCAGGTCAGACATTGCTGGTGAGTGGGGTTCAGGTGATCACTCAGCACCCCAGAACCAATAAGCAGTGAGTCCTTGCACAACACAGTTGTTCCATTTGAACTTCCCCCCTGGCAGCTGGAATGCTCTGGGTGAGGGGATGTTGGAGAGCAGGACAGCAGGAACTGAGCCCAAGCCATGTCCCATGTTGCAGGTGTGGCTATGCCACGTTGCACCACGTGGTGGAGAAGACGAAGGAGGATCGAATGGAGAGCTTTTTTCTCAGTGAAACCTGTAAATATTTGTACCTGGTACGTGTGTGTTCCTCACTGCCAAGGCACTGCACAAAAACGGCACAGGAGGGGGCGGGAGGTTATTAATTATTAATTAGGAACTGGTGGGGTTGGGGGCAGAGCACCACTGATGACAAGCTGCTGGGCTCTGGGGTTTGTGTCTGGGGGTGATTCAGGCTGAGCTCCTTCCCTCTGACCTCACCCCAATCTCTGAGCTGGGGCAGCTGCCCAGGCGTGGTTCCTGAACCTGGAGAGCTGCAGATCTTTGGGAGGAGGCTGGAAAGGAGAGGGAGCAGGACTGGAGGGAGCTGCTGCTCAGCTCTGAGCTAATTGCTGCTTGCAGCCCTCCTGCCTGGGGCAGCCTGTGCTCTCTGCCTGCTGGGCTGTGGCACTCACAGGAGAAGGCATTTGGGCTGACATTGCCTAAGCCCGTGTTCTCAATCTGCTTTAGTGCAGAAAACCAAATAAATCTGTGACTGAGTGGATGCCAGCCTAGAAATGCCTCACAGAGCAGCTTAGAAAAATAAGGGCACTTTAAGTTGTGTGAGAAGTTTTTCTTCTGCTCTCCTCTTCTAACTGCTCAGATCAATCCCTTGCATTAAGACTATTTATTTCCATTTGCTCCAGCATTATTTAGCACTAAAAGGTATTTTTGTGCGATCCTTCAAAGCGTGAGTACCTGTTCCCAACTGCTTGCTACTGGGAGGTGAAGGACGGGGCACACCTACAATGCCTTTCTCTCCCCTCTCTCCTTCAGTTGTTTGATGAAGAGAATCCAGTGCATAAATCTGGGAATAAGTTCATGTTTACTACTGAGGGCCACGTGGTGTCTGTGGACGAGCGTTTCCGGAGCTCGCTGTGGGAGGACATCCTGCCTGCAGGGGAGGACAGCCTCAAAGCCAAACCCTCCGAGCTCAAGGCAGCCAACTTCAGCTCCAACGTAAGCAACACACAGCCTGCTCCTGCTGGGCATGGGCAGGGCAGGCAGGACACACAGAGCCTTTGCTAGTGCTGCTGTAGAGAGTTCCCTTCAGAAATGTCCAACACCTGAGGAGCTCCCCTGAAAGGTGCTTCCAGCAGCAGCATAAATGGGATCACGTGTGGGATGCTGGTGAAGGTGAATCCTGTCCCCTTTGAAGTATTTTGCAGTAATTTTTTTGTTCTTTGTTAATTCCAGTTATTTTTCTCTTCCCCTTTTCTTTGCCCTTAAAATTCTCCAGTGTTGCTGTCACAGGGGCAAAGGCAGAAGCAGAGGGTCGTCTAAACCAAGCTTTGTCTTCCTCAGTGTGGTTTGGGGGGATGGAAAGGGGACCCTTCTTAGCAAGGCCTCAACTGACCCCAGAGCTGTGGCTTCAGTGGCCATCACCAGCCAGAACAGATCTGGTTTTAATCAGAATGGTTTGAGTTGAAAGGACCTCAAAGATCACCTCATTCCACCCCCATGGGCAGGGACACCAGCCACTAGAGCAGTTAAGGACAATTTTTTAAAATATCTCCTGGTAGGTTCTGGTGTAGTTTCTTCCCTCCTCCCCACAAAGCTCCAGAAAAAGAGCATTATTTTAAACGTTCACAGTTGTCATAGTGAAGGAAATCCCAGTTGCACAACAAGCTGTGCTGTGTGTTTGGAAGCTGCAGCCTGCACTGAGGAAACACTTGCTGCTCATTTATGGGATTTGTGCTGCAAGTCTGCACAGAACGAGGGAAAGTTGGAGGGAAAAGTGTTATTGACTACAGTTTTCTGTACTGGGAGGATCTGAAAGGATTGCAGAGGGGATGGCTTGCCTGGGTTTGGATCTGAGTTCTTAAAAAGATGTACATTTTCTCAACAGTGTAACAGAGTCCCTGATGAGAGGAGGTACCTGCTGCCCCTCAAGAGCAACTACATGAGGCAGATCGACAGAATGGTGGGACTGATCTGAGGGGCTCTGCAGGGAACCTGGGGGGAGTTGGCATCCTCTGCAGACACTGCTCCCCCTCAGCTGCTCCCTGCACAGGCTGGGTCCCCCAGGGGTCCCTGGGGTGTGGCCAGCCCCGGACACAAAGGAGATGGAGCTCACTCCTCTGAGCTGGGGTAACCTCCCGTGCCACCTGAACAAACAGCTCTCGTTTCAAGACTTCCTATGAGAAATGTTGTTGCAAATGAAGGCTGAATATATTTTAAAAGGAAAAGAAGGCAAATTGGCCTGTGCCACTTAGCTACCTCTTCGTAGCTGTGTTACAAATGTCCCTCTAGAGCAGGGTCTGGTATTTAATTTGAAACGATCTCGGGGCTTGGGGAACGAGTGGGGAAGTGCAATTTTTTACACCGAGTTGAACTATTGAATTTTTCTGACTAGCAATACACAACCTAAAGGTCTACTCAGGTAGGAACCCACTGGGTTTGCTGAAACAAAACTGCTCTGTGTACTCTTGGAAAGATCACTGCTGGTGGTGTAAGAGCTGCTGGTAGAGTCTGCCATCCCTCACAGCCACAGCTGTGGGAGCCTGTAGCTGCAGAAACCAGTGATCAAACCAATCCAGGTGCCTTTTTGGAAGGGAAGGGGGGAGGGAAAGGGGAATTGCAAAGCCACTCAGGCAGAAGTTCCCAAAGTTTCCTTGTTTGCCAAGTTTCAGTGCCTTTTCAGGAGAGATGCTGCTAAGAGCTGGTGTCACAGTACATGAAGAACAAACTAGTTCACATTCCTGACAGGATTCATGTGTTAGTGCCTTAAGTTCTCTTCCCTGCCAGGGAAAACTGAGCTTCCTTAGGAAGATGGAAAAGTATTTCTGATGAGCTGGTTGCAAAATACAGTGGAACCCAAAGTCACTTAAAAAGAGATGCTTGGAGTTTTTTTTTGAAGATACTGGAAAAATATCTATGAACTTTCAGGAAGAAGGCAGTTAAGGGCTTGAGGGATGACAACAAACTGAGGCCAAAACAACTATTTTAAATATACCAAGTTGGGTTTTTTTCCCAGTGGTTGCTTATATACTTCTAACTTTTAACTACAGTTGAAGTAGTAGAATGTTATTTTTGGGTTAATGACTTTTAAATTGAGGCATAAATACAAGGGCAACTTGGTCTGCTGTATTTTCACCTTCTTACAACAACATTGGTTTTCATAAACCACGTGTTGCAACTCAAAACATTTCTAATAAATATGAAGTTTGTGCTGGAGAGGTTATTGTTGGAATCTTTTAATGTACAGATGCATCTCAGGGACTTTGTTGTAGAATCTTCTATTCCATGATAGTTGAATCTTGTATTCAGGCAAAAAAAAAAAATCATCAAGTCTTCTTAGTCTTATTATGTGTGTTTGAGGGGGTGAAGGGTTGGAGGGGGGAGAGGGAAATAGGTGAAAATTTCCCAAAATATTGCAATAGGATGGGTTGCCTTGGTGTTTGAGGCAGCTGGTGATTCCAGCTCCTGTAGCACTGGCTTTGCCAAAGGTGTTTCTGGAGTGTCTGAGCTGTCTGCTCCGAAGGAAAGCAGGAACTGAAGGAGCTGTGATGCAGAGAGGTGTTGGCAGAGGTTCAGGCCGTGCTGCCAGCACGGGGTGAGAAGGGCAGCAGGATGGGCAGGGGCACTGCTGCCCAGCCAGGGCACAGAGCTCTGGGCTCTCTCACGCTGCTCCTGGGCCAGCTCTGCAGGGAGGAGTGCTGGGGTGGGAGCCCAGCACAGCATCCCACACTGCCTGGGTAAGCCCACGGAGTGCCAGGGTGGGCAGGACAGACAGGACACCAGGACAGACACACCCTGAGTGTAGTGGCGGCTTCGCCTGCTCCAGGTTTGTCCCTGACTCCCAGTTTAGCTCCCTGAATGTGACTCTGGCCACTCAGTGACTGCCTTCTGAACTCCTGAACCCGGGGGAGGACCCCAGCCCAGGATTGTGCACAGAATCCATTCCAGAGCTTGCCAGAGAGAATTCCAGGACCGTGAGGAAGTTGCACAACTGTTCTGCCATTGTGTTTTCCTTGTGAGTGCCAGGAATAGTGAAAGGTGGAGAATGAGAGCAGCCCAGACAGGAATTGCAGCCTTCCAGCCAAACATGGTCAGCTTCCCTTGGGAATTGCTTTGGAATTTCTGCTGCCAGGTGATGTGACAGTCATCTTTCCATAGGAATGCTCTCTATCCTCCCAGAAGCTGCTGGTAAAAGACTTTGTGTTCCTTCAGGAGCCAACTTTTCTTCCTCTTTGTCCTAAAACTGCTTGGATAGGTTTTTACTCTGTAAGGACAGGGCACCTGCTGTGCACTAAAATGAGAGCTTTTGTACAAGGCACTGGCATCAAAATGGAGCTGGTAACAGTGCTGGAATCACTTGCTGAAATAGACTCTTGTATTTCTTGGTATCACGTGCAATATCAGGTTTTCTGAACTGAAAGTGCCATGTATGCTTAATTGTTATTTATCCATGAAGTATTTAACTGAGAACGGGAAACTTGGAAGAGGACCAAATGTGCTTTCATGAAATGTCCTGAATTTTCAACACTTGGCTTGCCTTTTGCAAATCTCCATTAAAAAAATAGTGTGTTTGACTACTTTGATGTGTGTTTGTCCTGCAGGGGATCTCCCTGCACCTTCTGTACTCTGGGATTTCATCTGGTTAGAGCTGGGACAATCCCATCTATCCTTCCTGCAGGAGAACAAACCCACCCCAAAACAACAGCGCTCTTTCTTCTCCCTTGTTCCCCTTTCTCTCCATGAGGGTTTGGGGGCAGCTGAGAGCAGGGATTGGTGTGGGATAACTGAAGTGTGACCTCCCTGCTGGGATTCCCAATCCTTTGTCCAATCAGTCCATGGAAAACCTGGAATTCTGCACCAAGAGCCTTGCTGGGCTGTCTGCAGCCCATGGAGAACAGCCTGGGAAACAGCTCGTGCTGGGTTTGAGAACAGGAACGTGGAAATGAGCTGTCTGACCATCACTTTGATTTGTTGGTTCTCCTTTGCTGCTTTTCCCTCCTGGATTTGTTTTGTGTCTGATTGGCATTATCTCCTGTGCTGTTCCCTGGTTTCAGTCCTGGTGCTGTTGGAGCTGGCAGGATGTTTCTGTGTCTGGACCCACATTCCTGGGAAATGTCTGTTGAACGTCGGTGATGGGGATTTTGCAGCGGTTTTAAAGTTCCTCTGGGTTTTTGGATAATGAGATCTTTGCCTTTTGTTGCATTCAGAACTCTGAGAGTCAATTCTAAGGTGAGTGTAAAGGGGCTGAAATGCTGATTTTGGGGCAAGCACCCCAGCTCTGATGGTTTTTTTCCCTGTGGCTGCACATTTTCCAGTGGAATCTCTGCCCTGAGCTGCTGTTTGCTGTCATTCCTTAGCTTGTGCTGCCTCATTGCTCCCAGAGGGCTGAGCAGCTCTGGCTGGGGCTGAGTGCTTTGCTTGCAGCTTTTCCAGCCCACGTTTAAGAAATTATCTCAAAAAAAAAAAAAAAAAAGCCACTCTGCTTTCCTGGGAGACTGGAGCGGAGTAACACCGCTTGTGATGCAGGATTTAAAATCCGAAGATGGGATTGAAAACTCGCTTTTTTAGGGTGAAATGCGTGGCACTGACTGGGTTTTAGAGCAGGCCAGAGGTGCGTGCTGCTGTAGCTCCGGTTTGCCTCCAGCAGAGCCCTCCCTTGTGCCGCGGTTCGAGGCTTTGGCCGAGCCACCGAAACCTCGGTGTCCCCAGGGCTCAGTGCTGGGAAAAGCAGATTTACATCTTCCCTGGAAAATGCGGGATTAGCACTGCCCGGGGAGCTGCAGGGGACACGGCACTGCTCATTCCTAGAGATGGTCACCTTTACCCGGCCTCGGAGCTGCTTTTCCAGAGGGATTTTGTGCCACTGATCTCCTCTTGTGTGGTTTATCCACCTGAAAACACCAATAAATATTCCCTGGAGCTGCTGTGTGTGTGCCCCTTCAGCCTCGTTTGTCCCCACGCTGATCACAGGCCACTGGTTTGGAGCCGTTTAACTGAAAAGCACTTTTTTTTCCCCCAAAGATTTTTGTTGCCTGGCATTTTTCAGGGCTGTGGAGGAGGAGAGCTCAGGAGCAGCTGCAGCCTGGCCGGAGATTGCAGTGCCCAGGGTGGGCACTCCGGTTCCCAGGGAGAGCAGCACCGTGCCTCTTCCAACAGCAGCCATGGGAAGTGGTTTTTTATTTAGGAAACGCAGGTAAGGGGGAGAAAGGCACCAGTCCTCAGCTGGTGAGGATGCTCTGACCTCCTGCACAAGGCTCAGCTGGGAGCTGGGAGAGCTGGGACAGCCCCAGGCCAGCCTTGTGGTCAGGGCTGCATTTACCGGGTCCAGGGAGGAGTTCCAGGCTCCATGGGGAGCAACTGGTGAGACTGGGAGTGCCCCAGTGCCCCCTGCCCTGGGGGGAGATGAGATCGTGGGGGAACTCCCTGGGATTGGGATATTGGGGGGGAACTCCCTGGGATTGGGATATTGGGGGGGAACTCCCTGGGATTGGGATATTGGGGGGGAACTCCCTGGGATTGGGATATTGGGGGGGAACTCCCTGGGATTGGGATACTGGGGAGAGAACCCCCTGGAACTGGGATAGTGTGGGGAGAACTCCCTGGAACTGGGATATTGTGGGGGGAACTCCCTGGAACTGGGATATTGTGGGGGGAACTCCCTGGAACTGGGATATTGTGGGGGGAACTCCCTGGAACTGGGATATTGTGGGGGGAACTCCCTGGAACTGGGATAGTGTGGGGGGAACTCCCTGGAACTGGGATAGTGTGGGGGGAACTCCCTGGATTTGGGATACTGGGGGGAGAACCCCCTGGATTTGGGATATTGGGGGGAGAACTCCCTGGAACTGGGATAGTGTGGGGGGAGAACTCCCTGGATTTGGGATATTATGGGGGGAATTCCCTGGAATCGGGATATTGTGGGGGGAACTCCCTGGAACTGGGATATTGTGGGGGGAACTCCCTGGGATTGGGATATTATGGGGGGAATTCCTTGGATTTGGGATTTTGTGGGGGGAACTCCCTGGGATTGGGAGATCATGGGTACAACTCCCTTGGTTTTGGAGATTGTGGGGAGCACTCCTTGAAATCTGGAGATTGTGGGGAGATCTCGCTGGAATTTGGAGATCATAGGAAACACTCCCTGGAATCTGGAGATTGTGGGGAGAATTCCCTTGGCATTGGAAGATCCCAGGGAGAACTCCCTTGGCTTTTCCACACTCGAGGCAGGTGCTCTAAAATACAAAAAACCCAGACAAATTAAGTGAGGGGGGGAAAAAAAAAGAGAGAATATTTCAGTTTATTAATACTTTTGAATAATTGAAATTACTTGCTGGGTAAGGCCCGGGGGCTTTCCAATAATGGCAATCTGCATACTGTTAATTATTTATAATGTTCATTTGGGCTAAGTCACTGCTGACATGAACAGCTCTTGGAAAGCTCCATGAATCACCATCCTCGTGGGGTGACAGCAGTGGCAGCAGCGTGGCTCTGTCATAGAAACTTCACGTGGAATACAAACCTCTGGCCTGAAAAAACACTGCTTTTCCCCCTGCTGCGTTCCAGAGGAGATGGAGCTTTCACAGCAGCCTTCAGGAGGAAAAATTAACTCTAGAAGGAGGATTTAAATAAGCATTTTTAATAGATCAAATATCCCCGTGCTCGCAGACGCTGCTTAATGAGAAAACAAATGATGTGGGAGCTACAGATTCTCTTTTGTTTTAATATTTATGTGCAAATGATTCCCTCTCCTTTCCTTTTGCTTCCCTGCCTGCAGCTGAGTGCAGGGGTGCACCACAGCAGAGCTGGAGGAGAGCAGGCAGGACAATTATCCAAAATTTGGTGGCAGAAAAATCAGATTCAACAGAGCTGGGGTTGTTTGGGGTTTTTTGATTTTCCTTTTTTTGTCTTTTTTCTTTCGCTTTATTTTCCTTATTTTTCCTCCCTTCTTTTCTTCCCTTCTTTCCTCCCTTCATTTTCTTTCCTTTTTCCTTCTTTTTTTCCCCTTTTTTTTTTTCCTGGCTGGGAATGTGAGATAAGGAGAAGAGCAGGAGGTGTGATGTCACACCTGGGATTCCCTGGAATTCAGGAATGTTGGGACAATCCCCCGTGCCTCAGTCCTGGTTTATCCACAGCCTCCTCACCCTGGGGATGTGGAGATGGAGCACGGGGCAGAGCAAGGATGGTTCAGAAAGCACATTTAAAACCTCAGAAATGCC